CATGTGGTGCTGGGGGATTGAACCGTGGTCCCTGTGTTTGCTAAACTTGTTCTAAGTAGGTGCTTTAGACCACTGAGCCATCTCACCAGCCCCCTTGATATAATTTTTTTTTTTTCAACAAATAATATAATTTTAAAAAATTTCTCAGACAGGGGCTGGGGAGATAGCTCAGTAGAATAAGCCCTTGCCTGGCAAGTGCAAGGGCCTGGGTTCACTCCTCAGTTCCGCAAAAATAAATAAATAAATAAAAAATAGAAATAAATACAATTTTTCAGACAGGGTTTTGCTAAGCTGCCCAGGTTGGGTTCAAAAGTGATTCCCCTGCATCAGTTTCCTAGACTGCTGGGATCCCAGGGGTGTACCAACATGCCCGGGGGGGGGGGTCTTCCTTCTTAAGTGCATTACGATCTAAATCAATGGCCAATGTTTGATTATGATCTTTTAGATAACAGCTACCAACCTGTAATGTTATTCATTCTTAGGAAAAGCTAGAAGTTTTCCCTTCTATGGAAGGACCGTTTGCTTTTCATATTGGCTTTAATTGAAAGGATGATTTTTAAACTCCTTCAGAACAAAACTACATTTATTTATTTATTTTACAGAACCAGGGATTGAACTCAGGTCCTTGCACTTGCCAGGAAAGTGCTTATTCTACTGAGTCATCTACCTGGCCCCTAAAACTACTTTTTTTTTTTTTTTTTGTGAAACCAGGGATTGAACGCAGGTCCTTGCACTTGCCAGGGAAGCACTTATTCCATTGAGCCATCTCCCTGGCCCCTAAAACTACTTTTAAAAGGAAAAGAGGAAGCCTTTCACTTATGGATCAACACATGAAAAGGAAGTGTGAGATCACTAGTGTCAGCCTTGCCTTTTTTTTTTTTCTTTTTTTTTTTTGGTGGAACCGGGGATTGAACTCAAGGCCCTTGCGCTTGCCAGGGAAGCGCTTATTCTTTTTTTTTTTTTTAAATTGTGTGTGTGTGTGTGTGTGTGTGTGTGTGGCCAGCTCAGCCCACCTGGGGGCGGGGCTGGCAGGCATGTGGTGCTGGGGGATTGAACCACAGTCCCTGTGCTTTGCTAAGCTTGTTCTAAGTAGGTGCTTTAGACCACTGAGCCATCTCACCAGCCCTAGGAAGCGCTTATTCTACTGAGCCATTTCCCTGGCCCCTCAGCCTTGCCTATTATATGTGATAAAATGATGACGGAACTCCATCTTGTTCATGCGCCTGCTTTTAAGAACAGAAGAGTATATTAAACATGGCAATGGTGACATCTCATAACTTACAGTGTATATGTTAGTTTATAAAGTGGAATGTGTAATTTCAACACATTTTCTACTGGAAAAGTACAACTTTCAAATTGAATCACCTTTGTTATCTACTTAAAGTTTTGTTTTTTGCAGTACTGAACTCCGGACCTTGTGCTTGCCAGGCAGGCACTCAGGTGGCTGAGCTATCTCCCCGGTCCTTGCTTAAGCTTTTTTCTCTTGACAGCCAATAGCCATACCTGTCCACGGTGCTTGCAGAACAGAGTGTGAAACTGTGGAAGCCCTTGCTGCCCTACATCCTCTGAGCAGAGATGGTGCCAGTCAGACTGATCAGAGCCACTGATTCACTGCAGCCCAGGGGCTACTGCTACTATCTTAGCTGGATGACTTTCACGGTCAGCGAAAAGCAAATACTATCCTTACTTTGAGAAAATATGGAGAAAGCAAGCTCTGGTGAGATATAAAACTCAAAAATATAGGCTTAAAAGTAAATTTACAAAAATTGAAACATGTTATTTTAGTACCCATCCTGAGCCACAAATCCAATTAAAAAACACCATAAAAGCCTGAAGTGTGGCACATGCCTGTAATCCCAGCATTTGGGAGGCTGAGGCAGGAAGATTGTTCTGAGTTTGAGAACAGCCTGGGCTACAAAGTGAACTCAAGGCCAGCCTGAACTGCATAGGGAGGCCCTGTCTCAAAAAAAGACAAGCAACACAAAACAACAACAACAAATGTAAATTAAAACAATTAAGCACACCTGCTGACTGACTGGAGGTTGGCTTGCTTTTCTTTTTTGCTTCTGGTAAAGGCTGGTAAGGTCTCTGTCCCACGGGCTCATCGCCCTGGATGGCTGTTAAGTCATGCATACTGAAACTTCTTAAGCGCTCAGTTATTGCTCCTTGGCCCTATTTAATAGAGAAGGGGAAATTCAAGGAAAAAAATCAAACTTCAAAACATTTAATATACTAACATTTCAAATATGAAAACACTTTATTGTGAAAGCCAATGATATTTTGTTACATTAGTGACATCCTTCAATACTTTGTTATACAACTTTGAGAAAAATGAAAAGTCTTGTACAGTGAATATCATTAATTACATTTTGCCTTATCACATGCCCATCTATCCATCCATAAATACATGAACTTTTTATGCATTTTAAAGTATGCTGTAAACATTAGTACTTTTCATGCCAAACATTTCAGCATTATATTCAATTTTAAAATGTAGAAAAGAAGAGATCACCCTCCGAGAAAGAAAAACAAACATAATCTGAGTGATAACCAAGCTAACACTTTGCAGCCTAAAGCTTATGATTTAAGGAAAACTTTTCAGAGTACAGACTTCCTTTTTGTCTTTTGGGGCAGGGTTGTGCTGTGCAGTCCAGTGTGGCTGGCCTTGAACTTACTCTGTAGCTCAGGCGGGCCCCTAAGTTGCAATGGTCCTCCTGCCTCAGCTCCTGCGTGCTGGGATGGCAGGCAGATGCCACCATGCCTGGCCTAAAGACACTATTTTAAGGTTTGTTTTTTTTTTTGTTCCTCGAATGCCTTCAGGGCACTTTTGGCCACCTGGAGAGGTGTGAGGTTCGAACTCCAGCAACCTGAGGCTGACAGCTTTGTGGAAGCAGCCACTTAAAGGCCTGAGCTACGGCCAGGCCCCCTAAAGACACTATTTTAAAGCAGAGCTAAACGTAGTATGGTAACAGTAATGGCTCTACTTAGAGCAAGAGGAAAATTGGAAAATTAAAGCATGAAAGAACTCTGACTATATAATACTGTAATACTGTTAATGAACTCACTACCGATTAGATAGGTTTACTACTATAGAATTTCACTGTCAGTTATTTTTGCCTAATAATAGATATGAGGCACAGGTAGATATTTAAATGTCAAATAATTAAAATAAGAATTCATTTTCTTTATTGCACTAACCTTCCAAATGCCCCACACCACCTCTGGTTGGGTGGTCCAGTACCAGACATGACTGATGAGATTTGTCCTACTGCAGGAAGTTCAGTTATTTGCACTGCTGCCCTTTGGAAGGGACATTCTCTGAATTTTCCAGAGATATATACATTCCCCCTAATGATAAAACTTTATAAAGAGAGAATAGTTTCTAAATTTACTCATTTTAAACTTGCATGGCACATAGATGACTCATTTCTTATTTATAGCTAGATTAAAAATATTCTTCTGTGAATGTGCAAATGCATCTAGTTACAACATTACCATAGAAACTCATCCACGGTGGTTCATATTTAAATTTCAAAGTCAAAGGTGTTACAAACAGCTGGGTATTTCTGCTAACTTGCATAGTATTCTACCATGAGGAAAAAGGTCTTGATTCAGTACAATGGTTTAGGGGTCGCATACTGTATTATGTCAAAACCAAATGCCATTTCCATATACTATTGTGCTGTGTATTTCTACCATGTTTTTGAATTAAGGAATTATTAAAGGATCTATTTCTCCATTATTATTTCTCCAATTATTTTTATAACTGGGTTTTACAAATTTAAAACATTTTTCACGACACAGCTCAATTCGCACTACCGGCTTCCTCCTCATCAGCTCTGGCTTACTCATTAAACAGATGGCTGACAGGACAGCTCTCAGTGACTGTGCTCATGCGAAGCAGATGCCGTGTTTTCCCAGAACCATATCTTCTTTATCTCACCTTTGTGTCCTTTCTCTGTCTCAGTCTCTCTCCCTTCCCCTGCTTCCGTCTCTCAAGGGGATGGAGCCCAGGGTGTCACATCTGCTGCAAGAGCAGAATGCACTCTACCACCGAGGCACACACCCACCGCCTCAGCTCTCCTTGTTTGTAACCTGCTGCCACATACGGGACAGATGTGCCTACTCCTTACACGTCAGAGGCAGGTTCCCAGCCCATGTGTTAAGAGCAAGTAGCACTTTTTTTTTTTGTGGCAGAACCAGGGATTGAACTCAGGCCTACTGAGCCATCACTCCAGTCCCAGAAGTAGCACTTTTAGTATATGTGCTGCCGAAGTGAGCACTGAAGTAGCACTTTTAAGAGACAGGTCTAGTGGGAGGAAGTGAGATTACATGGGTGCAGGAGGGCGTTGAAGGGGTCACTGGGATCCTCATCCCTCCTCTGGCTTGCAGGCCCTGGCAACGAGCAAGCGACTAGCCATAGACTGAAACTTGTAAAACCCTTAGGCCAAAACCAACATTTCCTCTTTTTAAGTTGGTTATTTCAACAATTTTGTTGATTAACATACTATGACACTCAAGTGTAAGCTCCAAGGCTCGCTGTAATTCCCAAAGGCTGCTACTCAAGAAGGACCATTTTGGGGCGGACACGAGACACGCCTGCAATCCCTGCGCTCTGGTGGCTGAGGCTACAAGACTGCAAGTTCCAACTCACAGGAGAAATTTAGTGAATTATGGAGAATGTCTCAAAATAAAAAAAGGACTAGGCATGCAGTTCAGTATAAAGCACTTGAGTTCAATCCACAGTACTACAGAGAGAGAGAGAGAGAGAGAGAGAGAGAGAGAGAGAGAGACAGACAGACAGACAGACAGAGACATTCAGCACTTAATCTGACCCAGCCCAGAACACACTAGATGAATAATATATTTTAGTGTTTTAAAGATCAAAGCACTGTCTTGAGACTACAGGAGTGCGCCCCACACCTGGCCAACCACGTGCTCTTGCTGCTTTGGTCTGTTTTGTACTGGGAGCTGCCCTGGGTTTTGCCCACTATTAAGCAGCACCCATGGCCTCCACCCACTAGGCAGGAGCAGCCCCTTCCCACTTCTGAACATCCTCAACCAGAAATGTACCCTGCTGGTGGGGGTGGTATCACAAAATCACCTCCACTTGAGAGCTACAGATTTAGTAATCTTTTTTTTTTTTTCCCCCAGATACAGGGACTGAACTCAGGCCCTTGTGCTTGCCAGGGAAGTGCTTATTCCACTGAGCTATCTCCCTGGTCCCAGATTTAGTAATCTAAGAGGTTTAATACGTCAGGTTTTAGCCCTTCTTTTTTTTTGGTGGCCGGCTCAGCCCCCTGGGGTGGGGCTGCAGCAGCACGTGGCACCAGGGATAGCACCGTGGTCCAGCGCTTGCCTAGGCAGGCACTTTAGATCACTACACTATTTCGCCGTCCCCTTACCCCTTCATTCTACAGATGAGGAAGTGAATGTTTTGAAAGAGTGACCCAGAGAATCTGCCAAAATCTTACTCAATTAGCAGCAGAATCAGAACTGAACAAGTAACTTTGTTGCTTTAGAATTCAATGGGAGCTGGGGAGCCAGCAATTGAGCCTGGGCGTGGTGGCGCAAGCCTGTAATCCCAGCTCTTGGGAGGCTGTGAACAGGCGGATCACTATGATTCCCATCTAGTAGTGAGACCCTGAGCCCCCTGTAGACCCTTCCCTAAAATAAAAAAAAAAAAAAAAAAAAAAAAAAAGAGTTCAGTAGGCGCAGTGATAGGATCGCCTTTCTTTCTGTCTGCACACATGCTCCTTTTTGTTTTTAAGGTACGGGGGGTTGAAGCCATGGCCTCACACACACTAAGGTGATGCTGTACTGCTGAGCTAATCACCAGCCTGTGTGTGTGTGTTTGAGACAGGACTTCATCACATTGCCTACAACAGTCTCAAATTGGAAAGCCTCCTGCTTCAGCCTCACTATAGCTGAGATTACAGTGATGTGTCATCATGCCTAGCAAATATTCTCTTTTTAAGGGGAAGATACTAAGTAGCTATATAGTCCAAAATCCTTTCACAGACAGAAAGTCAAGAGAACAGCAAGATGACAGGTTTTAGACCTAACTGGGATCATTTAAAGTCAATTAGATTTTAGTAAGTTTATCAGGAAAACTTTTTTTAGTTTTATGTATTATTTATTTATTGGATACAGGGTCTCAGTGCACAGCTTGGACTTAGTGATCTTCTAGTCTCAGCCTCTGCAGCACGGGGATTATAGGTGTGTGCCACCACACTGTTTTCCGAGCCAGCATGGCACACCTGGCACGCAGCACCAGGGATCAAACTTGGGTCTCTGTGCTTGCCATTCAAGAGCTTAGACCACTGAGCTATCTCTCCCCAGTGCCAGGAACACTATTTCCTTTGTTGGACTTTTATACCTGCTAAGAAGTTCACCAAGAAAAAGCTGCCAGAGAAAATTCAAAGAGAGACCAATGGTACTTTTCTTCACCATCCTTTATGAGGCGACAGTATTGCTCATCTGTACAAACGCCACGTACATTTCTCATGTGAAAAGCTAGGGAATGGTGAATGTCCTCAGCAAAACCCTTGAAGGTTCTTCACAAATACATGCTTTGCTCAGAATCAGCTTGTGCACTGACCCTGTGAGAAGATGTCTGATAATGAGGTCATAGAGCTGAGTAATGTTCAGAAAATTGCTTTATGCTGCAATAAACGTTCCAGTTAGAGCCCTGTTTTCATCTTTAACGTGCTCAGGTGGTTTAACCTGGAAAACCTAGGCATGGGTATTATTGTTCTTTAAAGGTCATATCAAAGTCCAAGAGCTTCTAGCTTGTAAGATATAGCTATATCTATATCTTTAAGGCTAAAAATATATTTCATTATATATATTTCATATAGTAAATATATATATATATATATGCTGGCAAGATAACTCAGTGGACTAAGTGCTTGCTTAGGCAAGCACAAGGACCAAAGTTCAATCCCCAACACCACATGCTGCACCAGCCCTGCCCCCAGGCACGGTGAGCTGGCCACCTAGACCAGGCATAGTGGTGTGTGCCTATAATCCCAGAGCTGGGGAGGATGAAAACAGGAGGATCACTACGAGTCCGAGCTGCATAGTGTGAGATCCTGTATAAAACATAA